CCAGGCTGTCTAGTTTCTTGGAATGTAGTTGTTCATAATATTTTCTTACAATATTTTGTATTTCTTTGATGTCAGCTGTTATTTGTCTTCTTTCATTTTTTATTTTATTTATTTGGGTCCTTTTCCTTTTTTTTCCTTGATTAGCCTGGTTAAAGGTTTGTCAGTCTCGTTTATCTTTTCAAAGGACCACCTTGGATTTATTGATCTTTTGTATCATTTTTAAGACTCCTTTTCATTTATTTTTTTGTTCTGATCTTAATTATTTCCTTCCTTCTACTAACTTTGGGCTTTGTTTGTTGTTCTTTATCAAGTTCCTATAAATGTGAATTTTGATAGTTTATTTGAGCCTTTTCTTGTTTTTCGATATAGTTGTGTAATGTTATGAATTTCCCTCTTTGTATTGCTTTCCCAGTGTCCCATAGATTTGGGATTGTTGTGTCCTCATTTTCATTTGTTTCAGGATATCTTTTGATTTCTTCCTTGATCTTGTTGACCCATCAATTGTTAAATAACATTACTTAGCTCCCATGTCTTTGTGTGTTTTTCAGTGTTCTTCCTGTGATTGATTTCTAGTTTTATAGAATTGTAGTCAGAAAAGATTCTTGATGTGATTTCAGTCTTCTTAAATTTATTGAGATGTGTTTTGTGTTCTAACATGTGGTCTGTCCTATAAAATGCGCACTTGAAAAGCATGTATATTTTGGTGCTTTGGGATGACATGCTCTGAAGATACCAATTAAACCCATTTGATCTAGTGTGTCATTTAAGACTGCCGTCTTTTTGTTGATTTGCTGCCAGACATATGTACCTGTTGAGTCAATGGGATGTTACAATCCCTGACTATGACTGTATTTCTGTCAATCTTCCTTTGTGTTCATCAAGATTGGCTTCACATATTCAGGTGCTCCTATGTGGGGTGCGTAAATGTTTACTAGGGTTATGCCCTCTTGTTGGATTGTTCCCTTTATCGTTATGTAGTGTCCTTCTTTGTCTCTTACTGTAGCCTTGGTTTTAAAGTCTATTTTGTCAGATATAAGTACAGTAACCCCAGATATTTTTCCTTTCCATTTGCATGAAATATCTTTTCCCATCCCCTTACTTTTAGTCTGTATATATCTTTCAATCTGAGATGGGTCTCTTGGAGGCAGCATTTATATGGGTCTTGTTTTCTTATCCATTCAGCTACCCTATGTCTCTTGGTTGGAGCATTTAAGCCATTTACATTTAAGGTGATTCTTGAGAGATACATATTTAGTGCCATTTTATTCTTATATTATTTTTCTCTATTTTTTTCCTTTCTCTTTCTTCTTCTTCTTCATAAAGTAAGCCCTTTAACATTTGTTGCAATACTAGTTTGGTGTTAACAAACTTTGTTAGCTTTTTTTTTTGGTCTGGGAAGCTCCTTGTTTCTCCTTCAATTTTAAATGATAGCCTTTGCTGGGTAAAGTAGCTTCCATTGTTGGTCCTTGGTTTTCATCACCTTGAATATTTCACACCATTCCTTTTTAGCCTGAAATGTTGCTGTTGAGAAATCAGATAACAGTCTAATTGGTGCTCCCTTGTAGGCAGCTACCTTTTCTCTTGTGGCTTTTAAGATTCTCTTCCTGTCTTTAAGCCTTGTCATTTTAATTATGATGTGTCTCAGTATAGGTCTCTAGGCCCAACTTGTTTGGGACTCTCTGAGCTTCCTGGAGTTGTATGTCTTTTTCCTTTACCAGATCAGGAAAGTTTTCAGTCTTTATTTTTTCAAATAGGTTCTCAATCCATGCTTGCTCTCTTCTCCTCCTGGGATTCTCATGATGCAGATGTTCTTATGCTTCATGTTGTCCAAAATGTTTCTTAAGCTCTCCTGATTTTTTAAAATTCTTTTTTCATTGCTCTTCTGCCTGAGTATTTTTTCTACTTTGCCTTTCAAATCACTGCTGCCATCCTCTGCTTCATCTTACCTACTATTTATTTCTTCCAGTGTTTTATTTATTTCAGATATTGCATTCTTTATTTCTAACTGGTGCTTTTTTATGATTTCTATATCTTTTTTTCATGCTTTAGAATATCCTTATAGTCATTACACTAAACTCTCATCTGATAAATTGCTTGCCTCTATTCCATCTAGTTCCCATGGAGAATTCTGTGATTCTTTCATTTAGGGTCTATTTCTTTGTTTTCCCATTTTGGCTGCTTCTTTTTATTTTCTGCTTTAGTTGTTAAACTAATCAATGACATAGCCTCAAGCTGTAATCAGCAGTCAGGTTTAAGCACCACAGGGTGGGGCAGAGTAATTCCTGAATGCAGGGTATTGCTTCCCCTCAGGCTCTTGTCACTTTTAGTGGAGTGCTCTGCCTGAGAAAGATGGCTTCTGCAGTATGAGGAATGACTCAGCACAGGGATCCTGGAAGCTGTTCCTTTAGTTCTCTCCATAGAGCCACCAACCAGAGACTCTTCTCATCTCTAGTTCACTCTGCCCCTCCTCTGCCAGAGCCCCGGGTAAGTGTCTGTACATGAATTTTGTGCAGAGGCCCTTAAAGAGTCTCTCTTCATCTCCAGCCATCTTTCTCTGGCAAACAGAAACCCTTCCGCTTTTCACAGCTGGGTGTTCTCTTGGTTCCTTTCCAGCTCTGGTGCTATAGGCTTGGGAGTGCAGCTTGGGGTTTAGATGTTATACTTCTCAAGGGGAACTCCCTAGCTGCCAACATATCCCTCCAGAACTTCAGCTGCCACCTGTGGGAGCCCAACCAGCCTTTTCATGACTCCTCCATACTTTCTACCAGTATCACTGTAGTGAAGTGGTTCCTTCTGTCTGTCCTTGGTTATAAGGCTTCTCTCCAGCTAGTGTGTAGTTGGTTATTCAGGATGATTTCTCTACAATTTAGTTGTAATTCCAGCTTGGTCCTGGGAGGAGGTTAGTGTAGCTTCCATGTACTCCTCTATCATCTTAGAAATGTCTCCTTTAACATTTTAAATATATCATCCCACTATCTTCTGTTGTCCATTAATTATGGTAAAAATTCTGCTGTTAATTTCATTGTGTTTGTCTGTATGTAAGGAATCATTTCAGTACCAAGATTTCCATTTGATAATTTTTATAATTGCTCTCTCTATATTTGACCAGTTAATAAATTTATACTTTTTAAATTTGTATTGTTTCCTTTAGTTTTCTGAACATACTTATAATAATAGTTTTTTATTTTTATTTGTAATTTATTTTAATCTTCAGGAGAAAACTTCCTTGTTATTACTTCATTTTTATCCAGCAAGAAGAAAGGCTAGTTTCTACCAGCTGTTGCTCTGCAAAGAAGCATTTAATGAGATAAGAAATTTCCACAAACTAATAGCAGTTTTTAGTCCTTATCTGTGAAGTCAAACATTTGAACCCCCCTAGAGAGAATTCCTATTTACTGCTTTTTTTCTTGTTTATGATCACACTTTCCTATTTCTTTGTGTGCCATAACTTTTTGTTGTTGTCGAAAACTATACATTTTAGATATGTTGGAGCAACCCTGAATTCCAAATCTTCCATCCTGGAGGTTATTTTTGTTATGGGTTTTTGTTGTTGTTGCTTGTTTATTTGGACTAATTCTGTAGAGTCTCTCTCTTAAGTTTTTTTTCTCAATCACTTTTTATCCTGGCCAGCTTTCTAGGGGTTGCCCTGAGTCAACATAGCTCAATGGTGAGACAATGATTGATCAGAGGCAGTACTTACATTAAGCCAGTAAGGCTTCTACCCTTTGCTAGTGGGTCTGTAGGTAAGTTGGGGAACACATTAAAATTTAGGCAGTTTACAAGTCTGACTGACTTTTACTATCAGACATGTCTTCTTCATGAGTGTACTAGGTTTCACATTCAACTGGGAGTGCATAGATAGCTAGTGCCTTCTCCAGTGTCTCCTGAGCATGCACACAGCCTTCCAGACTACAAGGAGTATATGTGAGCTTATCAAGGCCCACTTTGGCTGTCTTATTCCCCAGATCTCCCTGTTAAATTTCTTGCAAGTATGCTGATCTATTTCTTGCCCCCAGAGTATCAAAACCTCAAGCTAACCTATATATATTTGGTAGCATGTGCTTCATTCCATATCAAATTAGCCCTCTCTAGCAGTAGAGCTGCAGGTATTTAGGACTTTCCTTGCCCTTTAGAGCTACTAAATTTAAGAAAAACTGGAAGAGGAGATTTTATTGTTAATTATTCTACTCAGCTATTTTGTTATTATTAAACATTAAGTTTTTATAACTTTTTGGTAGAATGACCATATTTATGAAGCTTTCCTTTTTTATCATGTGTGTTAGGTTATTTTGCCTATCATAACAAATTTTCATGAGGTTGGTGGTATAAAACAACAGAAGTGAATTTTCTCACAGTTTAAGAGACTAGAAGTCTGAAATCAAAATTTTCCTCAGAGCCTGCTTCTGGAGGCTCTGAGGAAGAATCTGTTCCATGCCTTTCTCCTAGCCTCTGGTAGTTGCCAGCAATCCTTGGCCCAGCAGCATCCCTTCAATCTTTACTTCCACTGACACATGGCCTTCTTCCCTGTGTGTTTGTATACCTGAATGTCCCTCTCCTTTCTCTTATAAAGGCATTGGTTATTGGACTTAAGGCACACCCTAATTCAATTTCCCTTCATCTTAATTAATTATGTCTTTTAAGACCCTATTTCCAAATAAGGAAATTCTAAAGTTTCAAGTAGACATAAATTTGGAGGGATACTATTCAACCCAGTATTTCACTCATTATAAAATATTACCTGAAAATCAGTATGTCCTTTCTGTTGTGGGCTAGGTGATCTTTTGTGAAGATTGGTGTGGAAATGAATGATAGGATACAATGATAGGATGGCATTGACTTTTTTTCTTGTGCTTGTTTCTCAAATGAATCCAGCTCATACCCTCTTTCAGTTATTTTATTCACATTGTTAAAAAAAAAAAGATAGAGACTCTGTGGACAGGAAAGGGTTGGCAGAGCTTTACCCTTCTCAACTTTGACTTGCATGTCTTCTTTTAATCTAGAGCCAAATAACTATCGGACCATGCATGGCCGGGCAGTAAATGGCAGCCAGTTGGGAAAGGATTACCTCCAGCTGAAGAGGCTATTGCAGCCCATCCGGATTTACTCCAGAGCCAGCTTATATGGCCCTAATATTGGGCGTCCCAGGAAGAATGTCATCGCCCTCCTAGATGGGTAGGTCAGATTATTTAGTAGTTCTTATAACATTGTTCATTAACTGTAATGAATTAATGCATTTGGTTTTTCCCCTGGTTATTTTGTTATTAAGAAAGACAGAGAGAGACTTTTTCCATGGCAATTTCCCTCACTCTAAATCGGCAATTCTCCATCAAACAGTAGAAAAACTTTTTGTCTTTCCAGACCTTGTATAGTCAGCAGAAGGTGGTGGGTTTGGGGATGGACATCACAATTTCCAGGACAGGTTGAAAGATATGCAATGTTTTAAAAAGCACATTTAATATTGCAGCATTTTATAGCATCATTATATACATATTTAAAAATATTATCTATTCTTGCATCCTTTTACAGAAAGTAAAGCTTAACAAAATCTTGGCTAGTAGAGCTGGGTGAAAAACACTACAAATATTTGCAGATTAAAGCAAAACAACCAATAGATTAGCAGGTATCCTGGAGAATTGCTTTCATGTGATTTATTTAATTTTGACTGAATTTAATAATCATTTTAAAGCATTGGTTATAGATGAGGCTCTATATTAAATGCTCTCTGCACCAGTCTTGCTGGTAGGCCAGGCTTAGATTGAATAGTGGGCATAACCCATCTGTGCCAGTTTGCTCCAGTTATGCAAGTCAGAGGAAATGGCAGAGGGTATGGCACAAGGAATCCTGAAGGTGTATGTTGAGTTCAAGACCCAAAGTAAAGATGTAACTGGAGCTGGAAGGGTGGGAACAATGAAATAGGGAGAGTCAGGACTTCAGCTGAAATAGAGTGTGCACCAAGGCACACTTTTTATGTAGCATCTTGTTATACTCTTAGATAGGTACAGTTATTCCTGCTAACTCAAAGATAAGTAAGACATTTTCCAGTGAAGTGAACAACCCACATTAGGTTAGATAAATGCCATGTGATTACAAATGGAGATATCTGAGGAGAGAGAAACCTTGGGCCAGCCTCCCAGATGGGCCTTGTGGCTTGAATGCTCTTGTGGCTCTCTTTGTTCCCTTTTGTGGTGGCTTAGTCGTGATCTAAGCTAAATAGCATGGCAGATATAACTAGGGTGTGGGATGGCAGAAATATTTACACTGTAACTACATTAACAACCTGAAATTTAGTTTTACACATTTTCCTCTTTGCAGAGAATCCCAAAGCCCTTAGTTCAACTCCTATCCTTTTCCTACCCTTCTGTTTTCTTTCAGGAGCAAATTCCCTTTTTACTTGCAGAACGTTGCATGACCTTGGCCCCTGCCTAAAAATATAGCTCTGTACCTCCCTTTGCATACTTTCACTGAACTTTGGAATGACTGTGTGTATGTGTGTGCTTGTGTATGTGTGTGGGGGGGTGGAGAAGTTAGTTTCATTTTACATGTTTTAATTAGTAGATAAAATCACATGTAGAACTTTATCCTCAGTTCATAATACATAATCAAGCAAAGTCAATGACTCTATCATTTACATCCATTTAATTATGCTTTGGAATTTTCTTTTCTCTTTCATGATTTGATTAAGGTGTTCTGATGGGGCTGACAGTGTCCTCTCAGCAGCATAGCCCTGTATCAATTATTCATTCATTCTGGAAATGTTTCTTGAGTAACTGATATGTGCTGAGTAGTTCCTTGGCCTTCATGAAGTATATAATATGGCAAGAGAGACATTAATCAACTGATCTTAAAACTAACACAGTACCAAATAAACGTGCATGGTACTATGAATGACCCAAAGGGCTGGGATTTGATTGAGCATGAGGTCACGGAAGGATTTCCTTCATGAAGTCAAATGTAAGAGGAAGAGAGATATTTTAAGTGTGATGTTAATGAAATGCAAGGGTCTTGAACTCAACATACACCTTCAGGATTCCTTGTGCCATACCCTCTGCCATTTTCTCTGACCTTGCATAACTAGATAAAGTGAAAGGTGGACAATATCAGTGTTCTTGACAGAAAGAAGAGCATGTGCAAAGACACTGAGGATGAAAAAGATCCAGGTTGGCTAAAGAAAGGTATAGCTAGAGAAGTAATTAGATGTCATATTATATAGGGACTTACAGGCACAGTGAAGGACTTAAAATTTCTTCTTAGTGGGAAATATAGTGAAAGCTGAGGAGAAACATAATTTGATTTATTATATAAAAAAATATGCTGTGTCTACTCTATGGAAGATAGATTGGAGAGGAAGCAGTGAGTAGGCTGCTGTAACAGAGAAAGAAAGAATGATGGGAGCCTGGACTAAAATGGCAGTAATGGAGTTATTGTTGGAGATAGGATCCAGAAGTCTTGACATGTTGGATAAGTGTGTGGTGATGTGACATAGGGATGTGTAAGCAATTGGGTATGTGGTATTTCCATTTACAGAGATGGGAAGACTGGAGGAGTAACTGGTCCAGGAAGAAAATCATCACTTTAGTGTTCATGTTATATTTATTATGTCTGAATCTAAATGAAGATGTCAAGTATATCATTGAACCAGTTAAGGGATCAAGATCTCAACTAGAGATATTAATTTTGAGGGTCATTAGCATGCAAATAGGATTTAAGGCTACAGGAATAGTGGAAATCATTTAGAGAGGATGTGGAAGGAGAAGAGACAGAGGCTTAGGAGAGAGCCAGAAGAACTCTCATATTTCCCTCTGAGAGTTACAGGAGAGTAACTCTCAGAGGGGAAAAAAAAGAAATGGCCTCAGAAGTAAGAGAAAAGGGAGAGATCGAGGTGTTACAGGAGCCAAGAAAAGAGAGTTCTAAGTAAGGAGAAGTGCTGCTAGGAGGCCAGGAGGTCAAGTAACAGGAAGATAGAAAAGTGCCATTGGATTTGACAATATGCACTTTGTTGGTGGCTTTGAATAACACCGTTCAGTGGATTGGTGGGAACAGAAGGCAGATCACAATAGTTTGAAGAGTGAATGGGGATTGATATACTGGAAATGATAATATGGAAAAAATCCTTCAGAGAATTTCTGCTGTGAAGGAGAGCAGAAAAACTAAGGGAGATGCGGCATTCAAGGAGAGCGATGGCATTTTTCTTCTGAGAGACACTAGAACAGGTTTGTATGTTGATGAGACTTATCTGGGAGAGAAGAGCTAGATGATTCAAGAGATCTAAGATATAACCAAAGTGAAGAGTTCTTTAAGGTTAGACGAAATGGCATCCAGAGAGATCTACCTTCATTAAATGGAAGGGTAATTCCAGAAGGTAAGAAGTAAGTATTTCTCCATGTCAGAGATTAAAAAGTCACTTTGAAGAGACACTGGTACCCAGTACACAGGTGTAGTTAGGGCATCCCAGTGTGTGTATATGCTGTAAATGTGAGCACACAGTTGCTGGTTTGTAATGAAAAAATCGAGAAACTTAGATGCAATAGAAAGTGACAGATAAAAGAAATGAACATGTAACTGAATGCTATGGTAGCACGTGCTGGGGTTTACTTCCCTGTATATCCAAAAACTAACAGGACTCAAGAAACTGGAGAAGATCACTTAGGGCAAGGAAAGTTGCTAGTGAGCACTTTTTCTCTTTTCTATACCAGGAAGTAGAGATTTATCTTTCTTAATGTATATGTACTAAGTATACAGTGACATATAGCTTGAAACACATAAGCATTCCCAGCAACTCAACCAACAATAACAAAAATGTCAGCACTCTAAGTGACCAGCTCTCTAGTCTTTTCCAATTCTCCTAGTTTTACAGATAAATTTTCATAGCTGTGACCATTGTGTATGTATCATTTTGAGATCTGTGTTTTACCCTTTGCTTCATATTGCCCTTTCTTTATTTCTACATAGTTCTCATGTTTGTCTTTCTTAATAGCAATAAAACATTCCATTGCATTAATGTACCAAAGCCTTCCCTTGCTGTTGGGCATTTGGACTGTTTGCAGTTGTTCTCTGTAATATATAGCACAGCTATAAACATCTTTATACAAATAGGTTTTTTATTTCTTTTGAATTACATCCTTGGGCTGTATTCCAAAAAGTTGAGTTTCTGGGACTAAGTATGTATATGATGATTTTTATGGCTCATATATTTGTTGCCAGATTTCTTTTCAGAACAATTGTACTAGGTTGCAAGACAGCAATGTGTTTAGTGAGTCCTTTCCCCCAATACCCCACAGCAATGAGTATTGTCATCTTTATTAATTTACTCAATTTTAATTGATGTAAGATTCCCTTCCGTTGTTTAAATTTGAATTTTGTTAACTATGAAAAGAACTGAACATTTCCCAAGTCCTTCTGTTGTGTGCTTTCTTTCATCCCAGGTTTAGTTAATAACACAATGCAATTTTGTCTAAAGCACAAATGAAGAGGCCACTTTAGATTCATTCCTCTCCTTTGTTCACATACTCTACCAGTTACTTACTAAGTTCTATTATTTCTGACATCTTAGTATCACTAATATTCTGTTTCCTTTTCATTTTTATTTTAAGCCTTATCATTTTTCCTCCTAAATGATTTCTCCATATCTAGTTTCAGACTCTAATAACTGGTTCATACAGATTTCTGATTGGTTCTTTAAAAAATGTAACATGTGATCAAATCACTCTTGTTTGAAATCCAGGTCCTTTCACATGCATGCCAGGGCTTTAAGGTCAGGTGCCTGCCTCATTTTGCAGCTAGTATACAGCTATATCCCCTTGTATACCCTGCCCTTAGCTGTCAGAATATATGTAAATTTTCGAACATGCCTTTTACCTTTGAATCTTTTTATTTTGTAGCATTTTCATTGGAATACCACCCTCTTCCCTAATTTTTTTCTTACTAGTAGATCTCTGACATTTTTTAGGCAGGTTTTCTTAGTATTTCGTCTGTCCATGTATGGCACTTTGTTTATTCTTCTGCTATAGCACTTAGCGAAGTGATGATAACATTTATTTACATACCTTGCCTCTTCTAATAGATTGTGGGCTAGGATCAGGACCCAGCCTACGTTTTATTCATTCTGTAGCTTCAGAACCTAGGAATACAGTAAGTGTCTTACTCAACAACTGGTTCTAATTTTATCTGACCCA